CAATGCCATATCAGTGCAATGCAGTTATCCACAAATGAGTTTGCTCCCATCTGATTGCTTGGGTAGTCCTGTAGCACAACCTTTGCTTCCTCACACAAAATGGCACCCAATGTAGCTCTGGTGGGTTTGGGCTATGAAATCTACCCTGTTCCTGCACTCTCTGTTTGGGATCTGCTGCTCTGTCTGTGCTCCCAGTTGAATCAAACAAACCATCAGGTTGGGCAGTTCTTTGTCTGTGTTCACCTCCTTAGCTCCCAGTGAACTCTGCTGCCCACCTGTATTCTGGTGGAGTTCAGATCACTACTTTCTGACTGGCACTGAGGTATCTGTTCACTGCAACACCACATCATTGTCTGTTTCTTTCCTGTGTCTGTCAGTGTCGTGGTGCCCCCCTTTATTTGACCTGTCCTCTGGACTGTGCCCTCTCTGCTTCACCCTGGCTAATGATTCTTCATCTGTTTAAACTTGTCCTTATCCTGTTTTGCCATCTTGATTCTCCAACTTTACAGACATTCTAAACTAGTCTATGACATAATTCAAGATACCTTCTTGGACGGAACAGGACAGTGCAGAAGAGGAGTTCCAATAGGATTTTGAGATATTGCAAAAGTTTTTTTGTTGACTAAGTGTAAGTTACCAGTATGAATTTCCATCAAGCCTAACTTGTGGAGCAACTTTATAAACTTAGGACACATACAGTATTCTCATGTTAAATTATACTTCAAGATACATGTTTATTGAATCAGAAACGTTGTAATTCACAACTGTGTTCAAATTGAGGTTTGCATTGCTATCTGACCATGAAGAACCTCAAAAGATGCACCCTAGGTCATCCATTTGGTCAGTGTTGAGAAATAGCTTTGATTTGAACATCCTTTAATTAATCCCTGGTTCCAAAATAGAGTTTTGCACAAATATTTTAGAGAAACTTCACCTCAAATATTCACATCCCCTCCAAATTAAGCACGAGTTATATTAGTAGAAACCTGTCCTGTCTCTAATTATGAGTATTTCTCATTTTAGTAAGAGAAAGAACCAAATAAGAGTCATAACAAGGAAAGCAGGACAGAGACATCCACTTTCTGGTGATAGATTGATTTCTGTATAGATAATTATTAATGCCACTTTCTTCATAACAGTTGTAGAGCATAATGAACCAGCAAAACTTGCAAGAATTCTAAAGGTTACTGAACCAGTGTTTTCTGTGACAGTCGTTAACTTGTGTTGCAACTACTAACTAATGTTTATTTGCAAGTCATTGTTGTGTAAGACGAATTGGTGAACTCTGTTGAATTCTCTATTTATTAGAAGGGTAACAAGGTTTAGGGAGCAAAAAAAAATTAATCTTATTTTGCCTTTTTTTGAAAACACTTCCTTGGCCAAGTTTCTAAAATCATTTAAGCAAAGGTAGATGAAAAGATCCAAAGGAAAGTTACAGTTGTGAAGATTCACCAAGATACAGAAATAACCAATGATGAATTAATAAATAAATTCTAAATATATACATGTACACGGTAGTGTACACACCTTAGAAAAAGAGGAGATGTTAGTGTTTGTGACAATACTGATGACTTGAAGAACTATATACTAAGAACTATCTATGCACCAGGCATAAATAGAAAATTTCATATGTAGACTCTAAAAAAAATGTCAAATATAGAAGCATGAGTAGATTGATCATTATCAAGGATTGGATGGAGGAAGACAGGGTAAAAGTAGGTCAAAGGGTGCAAATTCATGGATAGGGAGAAGGAGTAAGTGTAGAGAGACATGTCTAAAATTCAGTTAAAATCTGGAAATTGGCTAACAGGTTTTAAGAGGTCTTAATTAAAAAGTAAGTGTGTAAATTGTAGGTATGGAAATATTGTTGCTTCTGATAAGAATTTCATTATATATGTACACATATATATGCATTCGTGTATATATGTGCACACTACTGCATTACTGAAACATTTATTTCACATTTCAGTCCATATACGTCAATAGAATTCAGTCCATAGAATTATGCTTGAAATTTAAATTCTTCTTGTTTGCTTTTGTTGTTGTTTATTTGTTTGTTTTTGCTGGTGACTTCCTTTGTCTTATTCTGAACAAGAGAGTTTTCCTGTTAAGCCAGGTGAAGTTTTCTTGTTATGAATTATTTTTTTCTTAGTGGTAATTTTTTTTTTTACAATTCCTAATGTGTTTGAGTTGACACTCTCAAAGTCACCTGAAGCTTGCTGCTTCCTGAGGACTCTGCTGTCCCTCCTGTTATGAACTGTAGCATTTTGTTGCTGTTTCTCTGCAGCCACTTAAATCATGGCTATCACTTCTTCCACCCTAAGGACTGCCTGAGCTTTTTCCACCAAAAAACGGTGTCTTTCATGGGTCTATAATTAGAGTGTGGCTGTGCACCATAATTTTTTACACTGAAAAATTTTTATTTTTACTATTTTCCATGATACAGTTTTGCAGGTATAGGAACTCCGCTCCTTCTCTGCCTCTTCTTCCTCTTCTGTCCTGCACTCATGTCCAAATTGTAGTATCAGGGAGTGGCTGCCCAGGAAATGGGGTCTGAGCTCTTTATTTTGTGGAGCAGAAACAAATGTCTGAATATAGAACTGGAATTAAACTCCTTAAGCTGTTGGTTTTTCTATCAAACCTGAAAACCCAGTTTCTAGGTAGTCATTGGGCCCTCAGTGGAGTCTCAGACCTTTGTTGACAAGCTTTTGCTACCTCTGTGCTTGTTTCTCAACCAACACTTAGTGAACTCTTCACCACATTCTTTGGCTGAAATAGCATAATTTGGAAAGCCAAGAAGGTTTAATGTCTGGGGAAACAATTGTTTCTAGGATGCTCTGAATGGGTAGCAGAGTCTGGTATGCTTGTCAGATGACAAAATGCTTGGGTACAAGTGTGAATTGAAGTGATTCCTTAAATATGAGTGCACAAAAGGTGAAACATGACCTTGGTTGTCTGTGATCAATACATTGTGCATGATTGTGTTGCAGGTAACCAATACCTAATGAAAAAAACTAGATAATGCAAGTGCATAATGTATAATTCATGTTCATAAATAGGCAAAACTAATTTATGTCTTGAGGCTGAATGTATGTAAAGAGGGGAAAAAGTAATTATGAGAAGATATAATGAGACTTCTAAAGTGCTAGAAAATCATTTTTCTTGACCAATATGGTGGTTACACAGATATGTTCACCTAGTAGCAATTCTGTGAGCTACATCATTCATGTAGGATGCATGTAGCATTTTCTATGCCCATACCACTTCCCGATAATTTTTTTTTTTGAGTAAAAACAGACCTAATCCACCATCTTTGCAGATTATTCTATGATAGTGAAATATTTCACTCAGATTATCCCCTCATCATCCATTTGGTCGGTGATAAGTTTTAGAACCACTGAATTGGGTTCTAAAATGTGGTCTTGTGCTCATGTATTATAGAAACTTCCATCTCACAAATCCTCATTCCCCAAATTAAAATAAGCATTACCTAGCGATCTGAGGTTCCTCTGTCTGTAGCTATGTATGTCTCATCCCATAAAGAGAAAGAACAAAGCAGGGGCTCCAACTTTTAAACAGTGGAGCGGTGACAACTTTAAAAGAAATAATCTGATCACCTCAAAGAAAATCTTTTGTTTCATTTTCTCCAAATATAGTAAAACAAATATTTTAGAGTCCGAAAAACAAAGTTCAACTTTCACAATTTTAATGATTACAAAAAAAGGCCTCTTCTGACACTCACTTTTATTAGCCCATACTTCAATTATTGACTCAGATCCTGCTTGAGTCATTACTGAGTAACACTGTAAGTGTTGGTAAATCCTGATGAGCTCTCTACCTAGTGGGAATGAAACAAGACTCAAGGAATAAGGAATTAAATGAGGTCTGTTGCCTTCAGAATCCATGTCTGGTCAGTTTTATTGTTGAGTATATGCAGTCTTTACAAACCTGGATTTCTCTACATTGAAGTTAGAAATAATTACAGAAGCCTAGCATTATTTACATGCACTAAGACATGCAAATGACTTAAACGTCCATCACCAGATGACTTGACAATTTCAGATACATCCATTCACATTGTGAACTTTTTTACCTTAAAAACAAGAGATCCTACCAGTTATTGCAGCATAGGATGAATGGTAGAACTTCACACTCAAAGAAATACACCTTAATTAGAAAAATACTGAAGCATCTCACTGACATAGATAATCTAAAAAATAGGTTAATGGATAGAAAGACGAGTAGAATAGTGTTTATCAGAATGAGAACAAGTCCAATAGGAAAAACATGTTAAAGTTCACACTTCGCTGTTAGGGAGGAGAAATAAATTAGAGATGTAATGTATGGCGATATATATATATATATATATATGTGTGTGTGTATGTGTGTGTGTTTGTGTGTATAAAATTCTGAAATATGCTAACTGTGTAGATGCTAGGCTTTCTGATCAAAACCCAGTAAACTTTTTAAAGTGATAAATAGTAAAATTTACTTGACTGTCGTGATCATTTTCCTGTGCATACTACACTAAAACATCATGTTGTGTACCTTACATAATAGAACCATGAATTTAAAAAGAAATGACTGCTAATCAACACAACAGAATTTTAATGGTGTACTCACAGAACATGGTTTTGTATAAGCAGTGCTCTTGAAGATCTAGTAAAGTTTCCATTCTAGTGCTATTTAGACACAAAACAAATATAAACAAACCACCCAAAACCAAAAACAAAACACTCCCCCCAAAAACAAACAAACAAACAAAAAAACAAAAAAACAGACTGAAAAATTCTGCCTCACCCCACAATAGATAGAACAGGACTTTGGACCTGGAGTGGAGAAGGTATGGGAGCAATGGGAAATACAAGAAGAAAAAAATATCCAAAGTTCACTCAATACAGCTGGTTCAGTACATCCAGCCCACTGGCTGCTTTAACAGGTCAAGGGGACACATTTTCAGCAGCAACGTTATATAAGCCTGAGATTGCCAGCTCCCAGTTGACTCGGGAATAAGGGAAGTCTCTGATGGATCCCGTGGTGTTCTTGGTGGTCTGTCTCTCCTGCTTGCTTCTCCTTTCCATTTGGAAGCAGAACCATGGGCGAGGGAAGCTCCCTCCTGGCCCCACTCCTCTTCCAATTCTTGGAAACCTCATGCAGGTGGATTTGAAGGACTTAAGCACATCCTTAACCAATGTAAGTGTACTTTATGCAACACCTTTTCAAGGGTGATTAATCAGCATTAAATTCTAATTAAATTGTATCACTGAAGGTTAATTACCAAAATATTTTATTTAAGGGCAATAATTCCAGTGGATTATTATTTTTGGTGGAATCCTGTCAAAAATAATGGAAAAAAAATAATACATTTTGCTTGTAGAAAAACAGTTAAGATGTGATGTAGGGTCAAAATAATAGAATACTATTGCCTTTAACATTTCATTAATTATTTTGTTGCATGATTCAGTGGAAACAAAGTGTTTTGTTATCAGGGATTTGTCATCTATTGTTTATGAAAGGTATTCTGTTCAGATGATCTGAAATAGTATCATTGGCATTTGGAGTATTGGTCCAAACTTGAGCAATTCTTTCTGATCAGGCATGCAAAGATATGTAGACCAATGAATGATTTCTTGTACTATTATTTTCTTGGTTTTTCTGTCTCCAGCTTGCAAAGGTCTATGGTCCTGTGTTCACTGTGTATTTGGGCATGAAACCCACTGTGGTCGTGCATGGCTATGAAGCAGTGAAGGAAGCTTTGATTGATCTTGGACAAGAGCTTTCTGGAAGAAGCCGTTTCCTAGTTACAGCAAAAATTAATAAAGGATTTGGTAAGTACACTTGTGTCTGTGTGTGCTTTTTTGGCAGGTGGTAAAGGGGATGATGTGATGCTTCTCTTATAGAGCCAGCCCAATCCAGGTGCTGGCTCCCTCATCATTGCTTACAGTCCTCTTCCTAGTTTTCATCTCTTCTGGTATTAGGAGTCATTTTCAGCAATGGAAAGAGATGGGTAGAGACCCGGCGTTTCTCACTCATGACCCTGCGCAATTTCGGGATGGGGAAGAGGAGCATAGAGGAGCGAGTTCAAGAGGAGGCCCGCTGCCTTGTGGAGGAGCTGAGGAAAACCAACGGTGGGTGACTGCTTGTATGTCCTTAAGAGACTGCTCTCTGCTGTAGTAGTGGCCCCCTGACACACTGACAAGAAGATCTTTCATTCTGTGTTTCTCTGTTAGCCCCCAGAAAGAGAAGAGAAGTTCTGAAGCTGACTCAGATCACTAACCTCTAGCTACTCCTTACTTTCTATGTTAAAAGAAAAATGTTTTTGAAAGCTTAGCTTTTAATTATATCCATAATGTGAATTTGAAATCACTTTACATATATTTTACTTATGTTGGTTGATTTTTTAATTACAACTATTTCATTCAAATACTGCACAACCAAAATCAAACAAAATAGAAAAATGAAAATCCACAATTTCTTCTGCTATAACTTTTATCTGTAAAATGATGGATTTGATTTAACTGATTTTTAAGCTAAAATATCCGTGGAAATGCACTGTTCTGTGGATGGTTAACAGAGCAACAATTTCAATCCCACTACAGCATGGAGTTTCTCCAAATGGATTAAATACAGGTGCTAATTGGTGAGGGTGGACATTGTTACCAAATGTAAGAATTATTTTTCTTCTTTCTAAATTAATGAAATAAAAGGACTTCATTTGTTAATTTCATGTTGGTATTTGTCCTGTCAATCATTTTCAAAATGAAGATTTCTAATTTCATCTTAATTTTAGGCAAATCATCTATTTTATAATTCATGTACATTAGATTATGATTTAAAATTACATGAATGATGTCTGTATATTTCATCATCAATTGAGAATGTTTTGTAATTTTCTCTTTAATCTTCTCTCTGCAGTTTCTATATACAGTTTCTTTAATTATTCTGTATCTATAAAAGGTCCCAAATTATTTTCTTCCTTAATTATCTGCAGGTTTCTAAATATAATTGTATACTGACAACTTTAGTTATTAGATATTTTCAAAAGTGATCCCTGTTGCCCTCCGAAATGGTAGTGACTTAGGATCAGAATCCTGTACACAGAGGTGGTGAGGTTTTCCTCATGCGGTAGATGTTAATGGAGCAGTTAGCAAGCTATTACCAAACAAGCTAGGGTGGACTGGTTAATTTAGGCTCATGGGAAATTCTTTGAGTAGTTCTAAGAATGCGGAAGATGCTGCTTATTTAAAGTTAACTTCCAAATACATACTGTTTTGGATTCTAAGTTACATCGTGTTGATTAAAAGGCAAGGACTTTTGTATGTGTATTTTAACAGTGTTTGAAAATATTTCTACTCTAGCTGCACCCTGTGACCCCACCTTTATCTTGGGAGCTGCTCCATGTAATGTGATCTGCTCCGTGATTTTCCAGAACCGTTTTGATTACAGAGACCAGAATTTTCTTAGCTTGATGGGAAAATTCAACGAAAACTTCAAGATTTTGAATTCTGCATGGGTGCAGGTGAGACCAAAGTCCTGTCTTCCTGACAAATAATTTCCTTTCTCCTTTTTGAAGTCAGAGTTGCACTCTGATGTCCAGCCTCTCCACTTTCCACACACTCAGTTCTTTATAGCTTTGTTCAAATAATTTGGTTTGAATATTAATTTTTCTCCCCTTTTCACATTATTTTGTGGCTCTCTTTGGCCTTTGTGTTTGTTTGTGTGTTTTTGTTTCTGTCTGCTCTGGTATTTGTTGGGTGACTTTTTTACACTATCTTTTAACAAAACTGTATAGGGCTGCATTGTGTGGCTCTGAATTCCCTGCTCCCTTAGCTTGAGTGCTGAATTGACAGGGATGAAGGTGAATGTGAAAAATGAGAGAATAAAGAGGTAGGGATAATCATTGATAGAGAAGTTGAGAGATTTAAGAGAGGAATTAAGAAAGTGAGAATGAAAGAGCAAACAAAGAAGTAAGGCAAGGAAGGAAGGACAGAGGGAAGGAAAGGAGGAAGGAAGGCAGGATTGCAAGAAGGCAGGAAGGAAGAGAGGGAAGAAAGGAAGGGAGGAAGGGAGGAAGGAAGGGAGGGAGGGAGGAAGGAGGGAGAAAGGAAGGAAGAAAGGAACGGAGGGAGGGAAGAAAGCAAGAAGGGAGAAAGGGAGGGAGGGAGGAGAGAGGGAGGGAGGAGGGAGGGAGGAAGAAAGAAGGAAGGGAAGAAGGAAGGGAGCGAGGGAGGAAGGGAGGGAGGGAGGGAGGGAGGAAGGGAGGGAGGGAGGAAATGATAGTTCTTGCAACAGGAACTATGTTGGCACATCCCTGACTTCAGCTTTCACTTGTGGATAAAACTAATCCTTGGTTTCAAGGAGAGGGCTGAGCCTTCTTCAAGACATATTTAAAAAAAATTTACTTCTTTATCAATTTCCTTTGATCTTATTTTAAAGGCACAGAGGTATAGGAATTTTCTAACTTTTTAGTCACCATAAATGCACACAACAGCTAGGGCTGGGCCAAGTTGAAATCACGGGCATGGAACAAAATCCAGGCTTCCTATGTAAGCAGAATAGTCTCAAGTACTTAAAGCACTATCTGTGTAGGCCAGGAAAGGCAGTAGTACCTACTGTCTTTCTGCATGAGCAGGAAGCTGACATTGGAAATGGAGCTGGGTCATGAGCACATCACTGCAGTGTGGGATATGAATGTTCTAACTGGCGCTTCAACCACTACCAACAATGCTTAAGCTGCCATTCTTTTTTTAGCCTATGTCCTAGCGAGGTAAGCTCATAATTTCCTAAATTCTTTAGTGTGCATGGTATTTCTGAGTTCCCTGATTAACAAACCTAGCTTTCATTCCCAGGGTCAAAGTGCTCAAATCCCTTGCCAAGAACACTGACAGTCAAGGAGAGAGTCAGGACAAGGGCAAGCAAAAATGCTGCAGGTTTTCCTACTGCTTTTAAGTTGCAATTTTCTTTCCCTTTAGCTTTCTTCTGTTACTGTAAATCTTTGTTGTGACGAAGTTGGTTCTGTTTTGTTGTTTTCTCAAAACATTTTGTGAAGGGGTGAGACTTGGAGGTGTCGTGTCATTTTGACTGACATTCATGGTGAAGTGAATGTTTGCATGCCATAGTCCTACATTTATTATAGTGTCATGGAGTCGGTGACTGGGATAGAGAACTGAATTCTCCTTTTTATGATAAGAGAACAAATACCTAGATATAGCAATGGAACTCAAATCCTTTGGCTGGTAGCTTTGTCATTGAATCCAAAACTTAGTTTCTATGAAGTCATTAGGTTTTGGGCTGATGAATACCCCTGACTCTCACTTGAAATCCAAGGCACTTCTTGGAGAATATTCTGCTATTCACCATCTTGTCTACCAATCAACACCAATAAAACCCTTCATTACAATCTTTGGCTGAAATAATGTAAATGATGTGTCAAGGAAAGAGACTATTTGAGACCACAGATCTTGTCTGGAATTTCTGAAAAGCATAGCAGTACATGATTGGTTCCTTGAGGTTGGTAACCAGACAAGGCTGACAGAATTCTTCATCATTTATTTTTATTTGAAAGGCAAATTGCACAGAGAGGAGAGAGAGAGAGAGAGAGAGAGAGAGAGAGAGAGACTCTTCCATTTGCTGGTTCACTCTGTAAATTGTTGTGATGGCTGGAGCTGAGCTGATCTGAAGCTAATAACCAGGAGCTTCTTCTGGACTTGTCATGTGCGTACGGGGTCCAAGGACTTGAGCCATCTTCCTTTGTTTTTCCATGCCATAAGCAGGGACGTAGATCAGCAGTGGATCAGATGGGATATGAACTAACACCCACATGTGATGCTGGCATGGCAGGCAAAAGCTTACCCTACTATGCCACAGTACCAGGCCCTGGTGCACAAGTGTTTATCCATAAAATATTAATCTGGATTCCATGACATCTTTGTGGCTGTCCCAGTCACATAATCGTGGTCCTGTTCCTGCAGCTGCTTGCTCACAGAGAAGTGGCAGGGAGTGACTGTGTGCTATACTTTCTTGGCTTCTGCTTGGAATGTCACAGCATGTGAATGATAGCAACTTGCCAGTCTTCACTATTTTAGTGTTGCAGGGGGGAGAATCAATCATAAAATGATGGAATTAACATAAAGATTCAACAAAGTAATGTGAGAATGCAGTGAGCTATTTTCACCTTTGACTATGGGCTCAGCTTTGGCTTTCTTAAACATTGCACAAAGGATTACTTTATTTGAACAATGAAATGTTTAAAAGTACAATGTGGTGGCATGTAGTGTATTTGTCTTCTGTATATGTTTTTAATATCTGCTTTTAAATTTTAAAGGTCTGCAATATTTTTCCAGTTTTGTATGATTATTTTCCTGGGAGTCATAGAAAAGCAGTCAAAAATATTTTTTATGTGAAAAATTATATTGCGGAGAAAATAAAAGAGCACCAAAAAACTTTGGACATTAATAATCCTCGGGATTTCATTGATTGTTTCCTGATCAAAATGGAACAGGTAAAATGTTATTAACTTGCCTGTGTTTTATGGTTTGTTAATAATATCTAAAATGGAAATGTCTAAATGGTCATGTAAGCAGTTTAAGTATATATTGAGAGCATAGATCTTAATTAAACTTCACTGAAGTATTAAAAACAGGATATTACTTAGAATACATAGGTTTTGCGTTAGGTACTAAATACAAGAAGTAAGACAGAATATAAACCTCAGTGGGTACGGAGAAGAAAAAGTTAAAAATTCAGCGTGTCAAGCCAATGCATTGTATGGGAGAATGTGAAACAGATTTTTTTTTTCTTCAAAATTTCATGAAATTACATTTATTTAGTTTTAAATTCTTATTTTACATTTTATAATTTTTTAAAATTCTGGTAGGTTTCTTGCATGTCCTAATGCTGGACACTGATCTACAAATATTTGTAGTCAAATATGGGAGAGAATTTCAGGTTCTGAGATATGAGGTAGACAAAGAAAGGGAAAGATTGCTGAATTAGTGTAAGTAAAAGTGAACTTGAACAGATGACACTGGAAGTGTCTGCCTAGAACTTACAAAGCTGAGAGTTAGCATTGAGGGATCAAGTGTAGACATGAACTGAAGCAGGAGTGGAATGCAGGTAAAACATAACAGAAAATGATCGCTGACATTCCGTGGAATGATCTGCAAATGACGTGTCTCAAGGCCCACTTCCAGACTACCCACCTTTAGTTTGTGAGTGTCCTTTAAGGTGAAATAAACATCTTGTAGGCATTAGTTGTTGGGTCACATATAGTTATTATTTTTTCCATTCATCCATATATGCTTTTTGATCACGAAATAAATCTTTTCATATTCATAGTAATTGTTGACTTACTGGTAAAAGTCAAAAAATTGTTCCTTTGTTTTGCAGAACCTCTTAGCATTACTCTCCCTGGCTACCTTGTGTTGTGGATTAATGGTTTTCTGTAGTTTATGCTCTGAACTGATTTCATTTTTTAATGTCTACTATAGACATTTACTTTTGAGCTGAGTCTTAGAGTGAGTGTATTAAGACTTAAATCCTGCAGAACCATGGAGATTGGTTTGGGAATTTCCTTCTGTATTGAATGGCATAGTAGGCATGATGGGGCCCATACTTGAGTTTATCACAGATTTTCCTTACAAACTGATGTGGATATTTTCCTAGTAGACAAATATGTAGGAGTCTTGTGACTCTTCCAGTTTTCTTTGACTGGAAAATGGTTAATTGATTCATGTTTATTTGGAGAATCCAGGGGTAGAAGATGGATAGCCTTATCCCTGTTGTTGAAGTCACTCTCAGAATTGCAATAATTGAATTCTGAGTTATTTTGGTTTTCGCAAGCTATGACCATATTAGCTCCATTATAAATTTTGTCTTTATACAAAGAGATGAAAGATCAATTAACAACATACCCATGACTGGTGTGTTTCTCTCACATTCAGGGAGTTTTTTGTTGACTAGTTCAGGACTAGAGTTACAGAACTGAAGCCTCACGGACTTAGGAGCTTATCATTTTCTATTATCACAATCAGCCCATGTGTCTTTTCATTGATACTGAGTCATGTTCCAAAGTGAAGTATTAGCCACCTTCACTTCATATACTTACATGTGTTTTGAGTAAGAAAAAGAAAATAGGAAGTGACATCAGTGGGCCATCCATGTTATTTATGAAAAATAATTGGAATGGGCAGTATAGTTGCAACAGAAGCTAGGGAAAGGAAGTTTGAGGCATGAATGGTGCATAGGTATAACGAAATGAAGATTTGCTCCTGTACATTCTCTATGATACATATCATGCAGTTGTTGTAGTGTCAATAATACTTTCTCCACTTTATCAATTTGCTTACCTTTAGAAAAATTTGAGGTCTTCTGGATTGATTATGATTAAGTATATTAGCAATCTATCAAATTATTCCTATCATGATTCCTAGGAAAAGAACAATGAACAGTCTGAATTTACTACTGAAAACTTAATGAGCACGGTGAGTGATGTGTTCATGGCTGGGACAGAGACCACCAGTACCACCTTGAGATATGGACTGCTGCTCTTGATGAAGCACCCTGAAGTTACAGGTGTGTTCATTACTGATGACCACGGCAAATATCCACAGGATGCTGGAAAGCCTCTGCCAGTGTCCTCCATCTTTACCATCTCAGATAAGTTTCACTATTGAAATTTCTGTTTCCTCAGCTTTAATCTGTATAAATGTGCTGAAGGAATAAAGATGATTCACATGTACACAATAGGGGAGAGTGACTGAGAGTAGCAGACACAATGTGAGTTGTAGCAAAAGTCATCAAGCTTTGGGTTGGTAACATTTTATAATGTTAGGTTTCGGGGGAGGGAGTTTGCAGTAGGCACAGGTATTGTGTACTGACCTGGGATTGTTTTACCTTGTCTTCTGAAGAGCAGAGCTCTCTGAATGGTATGTATATTCTCAACAATCTCATGCTATTTGCTAAAGCAATGGAAAAGAAGATCAAAATTCTCTTTATTGATGTGTATTAAATGCGTTAGAAATTTCACGAGATGGCCTGAGAAAATTTCCTGTGTGGAGTATTTAAAAAAGTTAAGCTTGTAAGAAAATCACTTAGGCAAAAAATATGCCTAAAGAATTTATTCATCTAGGAATCTGAATTTACCAAGATAATATTTTTTGTCATAGGGCTAATAGTGTTATCTTTTAGAAGCACTGTTTTTAAAAAGTTAAAATGTTTGACTCTAAGCAAGTTCTGTATCTATATATCATATTAAGTAGTCAGATTATTTTGTTTCATAATTGCATTGAAATAATGATACGTTGATTACAGATGAGAATCATCCTTGTTAAAGTATTTAACACTCTTCTGAAGGACACAGAATAAATAAAGAAAATATTCATTTCTATAGAGAAATTGAAATTCCTAAGTGTCAGAAGAGAATGTTTTGTCCTAAATGAGCAGGACAAAACATGCTTCTAGTAAAAGCTCTCAGTTTGGGGATAAACAGTGTCAGAGCAGAAAGAGGAAGAAGGAAGCAGAAAACAGGAGTGCCTCCACACCCACTCCAGAAATGATTTTCTAGAGATCTTGCCCTTAAGAGGTTCAGCAAAGGCACATCTGAGCCTGGGAAAGAGTAATGAGTAGGCTTAAAAGGAAGGAAAAAGTAAAGGTGCACTCAAATGTGATTGCCCTTTGCCACTTTCTCCACCTGTTCCTGTAAGCCAAGCACTGCATGTCAGCAGTACAGGAGTAGCCCCAGTTAAAAGGGCTCTACTTAGTGCAATCAAGATGGAAAACTCTCACCAAAAGCGCATTAAGTGAATTCAATCAAAATATCCACCCAAACAAAGGTTTGTAGAATATCAGAGCACTGGGACTAAAAGATAAACAGAATATTTAAAAGGCAAACTGTGTTACAAAGATTGAGTATTCCAGCGGCACAGTAAGCCTTGATTGCTTGCCATTCTCTGTGTTCTTTTATTATGAGACCTAATAATGACAATGAATTCATCCTCCACTTTTACTTGTTCGGAAGGACACTAGAAGATGTGTTCTGTCCAAATGTCTGACACTAAATGAGAGGAGCTCATGGGCCTCAGGAATCAGCAGAGAGCGTGACAGGTCAGTGTGTGCTGCACAACAGGCTCAGGAAACATCATTTCAGAATGGATCAAATAGTTCCCGTGAGGTGAGAGGACACATCCCTGAGGAGGAATGACCATCTAATTGATGATGTCAGTAAGATAGAATATTTGAAACCAGGAATTTGAAAAAACATCTGGGCATCTGCAAGCTTCTAAGATGGCATGTGGAATTGGGAGTTGAAATAGATAAAGATATGCATATGTAAAAGATCATTATTTGTCAGTGATATGTGATATATAAGTCATAGTGATTGAATGATGACACCTCACACTGATATGGTCAAGTCTGCGATGTGAAAGTATTAGGGAAGCACAGTGATGGAAAGGGCATGTATGTCTGTGTCTGTAGGTGACTGCATGAGATGGATATCATTGATAGAGATGTTATATCCTTCCCTCTCCTACAGGCAGGCTTCATAAATTATGAACGGAACTAGAGGTCATGATGTTAAGAGACAGAGAAATTCACACTTTGCACATTATTCCTCTTTTTCTGGAAGTTATCAAAAAGTAGAAATTAATGTAGATTAGTGATTATTAGAGGCTTGAAAGGATGGGGATAAAGCAAGGTTGAATAATAGCAATGCACAGTGAAATGAGGTCTAGCATTCTCCAGTTCAGTGGAGTGACTACAGTTCACCACCGTTATTATGAAATTTATGAATAAACAGAAGAGAAAAGCATGAAGATCGTAAACATAAAACTTTATGAAAGAGGGAAATGTTAGCTACTCCAAAGACATTTTGCACACATCAATATGTACAAAAAGCAAATGCTAGCCAAAAGTATAATAATGTTTAGGGAGATGGAAATGTTAACACTTCTAATATGCCCATTACATACTGAACACATGCACCAAATCACCAATTGAACCCAAATTAAAATAGTTAGTCAAATGAGAACAGAAGAAATTTGAACATAATCCTAAAAGAAAAATTGTGGAATGCTTCAGAATGAGCATTCTTGCAGTATGTGTAGGTGGGACATTCTAGCCTATAGATGAAGGGATACACTTATTATGCAAATAAATAACCACATATAAATCAGCTTGTATAATTCAATTTAAAAAATTATATACACTTTACATAATATATACAGTGCTATACATACATATAATATGATATATGATATAATATATAATATAATTACTACATATAACATAGTATTTAAAATCTATATTATATGATACTGTAAGTACCATATATACTATATATATATTTCAATCTGAAAAATAGTAATTTATTGATTAACCTATGGCAAATATTTATATTTTGAAGCATCTTTTCCTATTATATTTCTTTCTTACACTTTTTGCTACTAAATAGGTATGTACAAGTTTTTTATATGTAGCTTGTAAGAGAGCTATATCAGGTAATTCAGAATACTCATGAAAAATGGAATCAAAATGTTCGTTTTGTACAAAAATCGACATCCAACATTGTTTCTACATAGTAAGAGTTTTCCATGAACTATTTGAAGTTCCTCATCTGTGTTTCTAATAGATGGTCTTTCTGTCGGTCTCTGTGTACTATGACCTTTTGGGCTGATTGGATAATTTTCATTCTGTCTCAGTTAGCCTCACCTGCTACAAGGAAAGTGCCATATGTCCCTTATTCCAAGGTTTCTCACTCCCTTCTGTCTTCTCAGCTAAAGCGCAGGAGGAGATTGAGCGTGTGATCGGCAGAGATCGAATCCCCAGCATGCAGGACAGGAGCCGCATGCCCTACATGGACGCTGTGGTGCACGAGATCCAGAGGTACATTAACCTCATCCCCAACAATGTGCCACATACAGCAACCTGTAACATTAAATTCAGAAACTACCTCATCCCCAAGGTAAGTTTTTTTTTTTTTTTTTGGCCAGTACTGTAGGTCTCTAATGTTGAAATTCTCAAATTCAATATAGTTTCAATCCTCCAATAGCCAGTGTGAGAGAGGTAATTCATTTTGAAAACTAGAAAGAAAATAAAACAAAAAAGAAAAGAAAAGAAAAAAAAAAGGAAGGAAGGAAGGAAGGAAGGAAGGAGGAGGATGGGCTGGAGTCTAGGATGGGGAGTGTCATTGTGGTTTTTGATCTGTGTTGTGAAATACATGACATTTGCTCACTTAGTTTAAATTTATAATGAAAGTGCAAAACTTACATAAAGCTTGATGAAGTCTGCTATTTCAGTGTAAAGGTATAAAACATGTATTTTAAAAACTTTGTTTACATAAAGGGAATAAGTTCTATCTGTTTTGTGTATACAGTTTGAGCAGTATAATGAATATTTCCTAGCCTATTCTCCCTCACACATTTCCCTTTGTTTTTGTCTAGTTGAAAGTAAAAAAGGGAGACCCCCGTACAGACATGGACACATACACACAACATTTTACCAACTGGTTCACCCCCTAAATGCTTGCAGAAAATCAGGCTAGGTTTTGCTAAGGCCAAGAACCCAGGCCTCTGTGGACATGTCCATGTGAGTGGCAAGGGCCAAGCACTGGAGTCACGATTTCATACATCCCAGCATGCATCAGCAGGAAACTGCATCAGAAGTGGAGTAGTGGAAACTCAAGCCAGCATGCCAGTGTGCAATGCAGACTAACCCTCAGCAGCAAAATGCTTTGTTTCATTTCTCAAAGCAACATTCTGAGAAATCATTTGCGTTGAAATATACTAGGTAATAAACTAAAATAGATATGTATGTAAAAGATTTTAAAAGGAAAAGTTTTAGATAAAAATATGATAAACTTAGAAGGATTGTATTTTCCTTAAAGTGTGAATCAAAAGCTTAAAACATTTTAATGAAATTTAACATGATATATAGTCTACATATGAGAGCTCTACATGTCTACATTTAACCCATCCATCAATCATCAATATGTGTTCACTTGATCACACTTAACACTTAAATACTTCATATGTGTCTCCCCAGAACAAGAAATTTCTACTACTTGGCAATGACAGCATTCATGCTTTAGAGTGCCTGTTAGTAGGTAGAATCAGAAGCAGGGCAGTCTTTCAAACTAGACAGCTGGAAATGCTAGTGGATAGCATACAAGAGTTGTTCACAGTCGTGTCAAACACCTGCCCTGGCCTCTGTGTTTTGAAAAGCAGGATTTATCTGCAATGAAACATTACCCTACATTGTTTATATCGAAAGAAAAATATTGCATCTAAAAGATGAGGACTAAGTAGATTTCATTATACTTTCACTAGTATTTCTCCAAAGGCCTAGTTAAATAAGACCACCAATGAAAATGCCCTATGAATAATTTCCAAGTACTCCTGACTTTTCTAGAGTCATCACATTTAGCTAAGCATCAACATTCATTTAAACAAAAGTCCACCTACAGTACGACAGGTGAAAATGGAGGCAGTAAATCAGAGCAACACGAGGGATAAGCATGGTGAAACAGGGGGGAACAGCAGAGGATTTGCCACTCAAGTTCCCAAATCTTTAGCACTTGCGTGCTGTTGGGAGGCTTGTAGAAAAATCAGGGCCTTCTTGGCTTCAATTCATCTCTGTTTATTCCTTTGGCTGGAAATGTCATCGCTCTTTTTTGCAAACAGTTTGTTTTAGATGAAATTGGCCAAAGAGATTAACTTTATAATTCCCACTTTTTCTCCCTGTTCCTTAACTTATTTAGAATTCACTTTCCTTTGTTTTTCAGGGCACAGATGTATTAACATCTTTGGCTTCTGTGCTGCATGATGAAAAAGAATTCCCCAACCCACAGGTGTTCGATCCTGGCCACTTCCTGGATAAGAGTGGCAATTTTAGGAAAAGTGACTACTTCATGCCTTTCTCAATAGGTAATAGAAATTCCTTTCCATTTGTGCTTTTCAGACAGTTTAAGCTTTGGGGATCAGTTTAAACTTAAGTTGTGTGTCCTGTGGAGCTGATAGATTTGTTATTTGTGCAAATCAGGAGATTCATTCTCAGTACCTGTTGACATTCCTTGCTCGTGATGCATCCTGATTATGGAGGGAGGTTAGTGAGGTTTGGGGTGTTAACTCTGTCAGTTCAAACTGAGAAAGCTGTAGTAAAACTTAATGGAATTATACTTGGAAGTGTATCTTGCTACACAAGTGACACTCTTAGTAGAGGACATTCATTTGCCTGCTGGGGCAGTGTATGTAACTCGATAATTTTAGAAGCTTCTCTGTAGTGGCCCTTACTCTGAATGACTTATAGGAACATAATATATACCCTGGAGCAATAAATACTGCTTAGGGGCCCCCTTTCAAATTAGAGAAGCATGTGAATAATCAGAACATTGTTTGCAACCCAGTAGATGAGTATTCTGAACAAGAGATGAAGAGGTTGCTAAGGAGGTTGGTTGAGAAAGCTGTCAACTTTCTGCCCATGAACACAATACCTTTGCAACAGCAAAAAGGACATTTGAACTTTCTCACAGGAGAAAGTTAGCAGGGAAAGGAAAGAAGCAGGACACTCTTGGCTCGGAGGCATGAACCTCAGGGTCAGGACATCCCTTGTACATCTTGGACTAAGGGAAACACTGAGAATGTGTAGGATGCTCTTAAGTGACTTCAGAGCACCTTGATCTTGTCCTCAGAATCATACACCTTGGACATTTACTGTCCTCAGCTAAGTTGCATATATTCTGCCTGTAGACATGGAAACCATCCATTTCCCCTTTGCCTTCTTTCCATGCAAACTGTGGATCTGACATTGTTCATATGAACTTTTTAGAAAGATTTATCTATTTTTATTTGAAAGTCAGAGCTACAGAGAGGAGACAGTTTTTTCATCCGCTGGTTTAAACTCTCCAAATGACCACAATAAATGGAGCTGAGCCAGTCTGAAGCCAGGAGCTTTATGTGTTGCCAAGTGGGCACGGGGGTCCAAAGGCTTCCTCTGCCTGCTCTGCAGTTTTCCAATTCTTAAGGAGGTAGCTAGATTAGAACTGGAGCATATGGAATGTGAATTGCCCACGCATATTTGATGCTGACACCATTGGTAGAGGCTTAGTTTACTGTGACAACGAATCAGTCCCTCTTACCTAGATGTTAAGGAATAAACTCTTCTTTTAATGAACTCACATCTTGTCTGCATTTAAAAAATGCATCAGTAGGTCATGAATATGATGAAGAAACCTAGAAAGGGAGAGATTATACTGCCCAAAGGTGCCACTAATATTGTAAAGAGGAAGTGATATGGGACATGGGTCCAAAAGGAAACAGAAGAGCTTCTTAGACCAATGGGATAGCATGAGATGCAGCTTGAAATATTGGATACTGACTTTGAGACAGAGGGGTTACGATCCAAGCTGAGCAGAGGGTATGAAGCAGGGAAGAAGTGATATTGAACATCAGATCAGGAACAGAATATGAAGGGCCTGATCAAGACATGTTTGTCTTATCCTAAGGTATAGTCATAGGAGCCATCTAAAGTTCTAAATCAAAAGTGACATATTTAGATATATGATTTCAAAATTGTCCTGGGGAGAGAAAGTTGTTGGCTAACTATTCTACCACAGAATTGAAAGAATGTAAAATAAAAGGGCACTTTAAAGAGTTCATGGAAAATAATGTTGAAATACATATATTTTGATGATAAGAGTTTTTGTGTTGCTTTAAGAGAGCCATTCAAAAATTCACAGAAAGTGTGTAGTACAAAAATGTATGATATTTTAAAATTGTTTTTGCACCAAAGTAAACATATCTTCATTCTATCTTATGAACTTTTTTATAGCATATTTTTTTAAAGCATGAACCACCTCCACTCACACTTTCTCTCTTCAATCTCTTGTACTCAGAATGTCAAAAGAACACTTCCAACGTGGTAACAGTTAGTAGAATGTATGGCACAGAAGTGCTGTTCCTAAGTATTTGCTGAGGGGGAGGGTGACTGATATAAGAAGACCTTAGGTGTCCACAAGTGCGCATATATACTGTCCGGCAGCCATGATGTCTTGGATTAATCTTCCTAATCAGTCATTGACCAAGTAGCTGCTACACACTTCTTGTGATAGTTACGCAATTTAACATTTAGGTAACGAGTCATCTGTGTTTGCTCTTTTCAGGAAAGCGAGTGTGTGTGGGAGAGGCACTGGCCCGCATGGAGCTATTTTTATTCCTGACCGCCATTTTACAGAATTTTACTCCCAAACCTCTGGTTAACACGGAGGATGTAAGCGAGGATCCTTTCTCCAGTAGTTTTATCCGTGTGCCACCCTTGTACAAGGTCAGCTTCGTTCCTCTCTGAAGGAGAACAGATCATCCACAATTCCTTTTCCTCCAGAACATCATGCTGTTCCTTTCCCCTCCATGGGTGTATCCTACGTCTTGACCTCTGACATTTCTGTTCTCCCCCTAGGAGATAGCTTCCAGGAGCTCTTTACAAATTCACATTTGCTATGACCTGTATTCCATAATCATAGATTGGCTAACACATGGACTAGTCATATTATATTGAATTTTGTATTGTCACTGTAACATTGCTCAAGATGATTGACACTTGGCAATTCAAAGCTATTTATCCTCTTCATGCACTAAATAAAAGCATTATTAATTGCTGCATCAACTCTCAAATTTTCTTGTTTTCTACATAATGGGAATAACATAAGAAAGAAAATAGATTCACAAGGATCTATCGTTGTTCGCAAATTGATAGGCCTAGATGTGGGAAAAAAAAAGAGTAGAAACTTTCTAGACTGCCACCTAGAGATACTGGAAGTTTGGATGTGAAAGATAAATCAAATGTGTAGTAGTGGTCCAAATTTTAGAGAAATAGTGAGATCAGCCATATGGAAATATTTGTTAGAATTCCATTTACCTGGTTTGGTATTACTGTGGGTAAATGTCAATATCTGTCTATCCAACTCAGATTCCAGTATATATGATTGCTCTCAAATTGCTAATAACCTGTCTTAATCATTCTCTCCTTACACACTAACAAGAAACATAGTTCTTAGAAAGCTTCACTATGACCTATTATTTTGTTCCTTACTACCATATTCTTGAACACATAGCATAAACGTGTTGCTAAATTTACACCACAGTCTTATAATTATTAGAGTTATTTCATCTTCAAGACTTACACATATGAAGTCTACTACATATCAAATTTCCATTCAACATTTTGTTTTCCTTGTATTTTAACATGCAGGAAATGGAGAGCAAAATGACAGATCAGCGATCCTTAGTTCATCTAGTGCGAGCCCTTGTATTTCTAAGTTAATGTATGTGTACAGGTGAACATAGATCTTTACACATGGTTATATATATGTGTGTATGCACAGTTTTATATTTACATTTAGCATTTTATGCACACAAACACATGCATACCCCTGCATACCCCAGCTAACTCCTGATTTTCAGGATTCCCAAAGAGGATACATAAATTCTTGATTTTGTTTCTTTCTTATTTTCTAATCGCTGCCTTCAATATTATAAACTTCGCTCTAACAACTGTCTTTGCTCCATGTAGTTTTTTTTTTAAAGATTTATTTTTATTATTTTTTTTTATTGGAAAGGCGGATATACAGAGAGGAGAGATAGAGAGGAACATCTCCCATCCGATGATTCACTCCCCAAGTGAGCGCAACAGCCGATGCTATGCCGACCGGAAGCCAGGAGCCTCTTCTGGGTCTCCCACGCGGGTGCAGGGTCCCAAAGCCTTGGGCTGTCCTCGACTGCTTTCCCAGGCCACAGGCAGGGAGCTGGAAGGGAAGCGGGGCTGCCGGGATAGAACTGGCGCCCATATGGGATCCTGGGCGTGCAAGGCGAGGAACTTAACCACTGCGCCACTGCGCCGGGCCCGCTCCATGTAGTTTTTAACCATCCACGAACATGTATGAATTTGTTTTTTAAATTCTCTGAATGTTTTTAATTCCCATTCGTGTCTTTTATCCCTCTGTACACCAAAGGATCTGGACATATTAAGTTGAGAATGTATTTCAAATGATACTGGAGCCTCCAGGGTTTATAGAAAATGTTACAACAAAAGTGCAGCCTGATTGGAATTAAAAATTGCAGATAATTTCATGATCCTAGATTTGGCAATGCATTCCTTATTATTACAGCAAAAGTGCATGCATTAAAACAAAAAAAGAAGCAGATACATTGATCACCCAAATTACTTATGTGTGTCAAGGCATATTATCAACAGAGAGATTGATAGAAAGTATAAAAATCACCGACAACACAGTGGTGACAATAAAAACAATAATCAATAAATAAAAACTATTGTCAAAAAATTTGAAAATATTTTACTTCAAAGAAGTGTAGGACTATCAAGTGCATGAAAAGATGCAGAATATCAATAATCATTAAGCAATGAAAATTCAAACCACAATGAAATACCACCTTTTACCAACTAAAGTGGCTAATTCCAACACTCAGAAAGTTAGTCTTGTTATGCATTGGCAGAAATTGGAGTTGTTGTGTACTGCTGGTAGGAATGTGTAATGGAGTAGTTACTATGACATAGTGCAGTGGTTCACAAAATTTTAAAGATCGCATCACAAAAGAGAGCAAAGTGGTGGGTTCTCTAATTGTTTTACCATAGACACACCTTCCTCTACTGATTCTCTCACAGAAACATCTTTAATTCTCAAAACTTTATAAGAATTCAAGAAACCAGGTGAGAATCCCTGGTACTTAATTTTAGTGTAATAATAAAAGATACACTGAAAAATAACAGAAAAAAAATAGTTCCCTGCATCACCTATGCCTTCACTTCAGACTGAGTTGTAGAATGAGGATTTTAGTAGGAATATGTTACTGATTGATATGCACCATCTATTGAGAACTTCCTGACCACAGAGTCAGGATGAAGAACATCCTGCTTTAAGATGAAACAAATGGAAGAATTATCCCTGGAAAGATCCACTTGGCCATGACATAAAAAGTCTGAGCCAGAGTTTGACTGCTTCTGTATAAATGAAGCAGACAGCTTTCTCTCATGTCCATTATGATCCTGGAATTGTAGTGGTCCATGTTTTGTTCATCTTTGTGCCTCATCCACTCACTCTTTGTGAGTTCTGAACCCAGCTGCAGCTGGAGTCCGGCAGGGGAAGGTAAGGACGGGGTCTGAAGTATTCCTAACTTATTACGCAAACATGGCAAGCATTTACTCTTAGAGCACTCCATGCTTAGATTGAGCATCTGCTGGGTTATTAAATAATTGGTTGTCCTGGAGAAAAAGAGAAAGAAATTTTCCATCCAGTAGTTCACTCCACTAAATGGCTGCAGTGACGGGAGCTGGACCTGTCTGAAGCCAGGAGCCAGGTACTTCTGGGTCTTCCACATGTGTGAAGGCACAAGGACCATAGCCATCCTACACTACTTTTCAAGGCTCAGTAGCAGGGTGCTGGATTGGAAGTGGAGCAGCTGGGATACAAACCCGTGTTCATATAGGATGCAGGTGCCATAGCTGCAGCCTCACTCTCTTCACCACAGTGTTGACTCCATGTAGAAGCATCTTGAGACTCCATATATTTGTTTCCTGTGAAGCATCTAGAAGTTCCACCACCTCTGCCCTATGAACAAAAAGCAAGCCTCTGCCCACCAAACCCTGACTAAAAGGAAGAACCTGAGTGTTCCATGATTATTTGTCTTAGCCTCTAGAGCCCACTAGAAAATCAGTGAGAGGCCCCACCAACAATTGATTACAAGTAGCTGCCATGTGGCCCTGCTTATCTTCTGGAACTCCGATAACTACCACGGAACCCATGAGCACACAATCACAGCTCCTAAAAGCAACTAGGGAAATTGCCCTGAGATTCATGCCGCATAAAGGCTCAGGGAAGCAATTGCACAGCCATATCCACTCACCTACTACATTAGGAAACAGCCAAGGAGCCTTTTGTATGGGCACTGGTAGGCAAACGTCTGGTACTAACCAACCACTTGAGGCCTAATCAAACAGATGAGTAATTCATATTATTGGTATTGACCTGCTGAAACCCCAAGAAGCAAATAGTTGACCCTTTTAACAAACCATTGACCCTGGCAAGACATGGAGTAAACAAGTTGGGCTGTTGGAGGCCATGGAAATTATAATGCAGTCCTTAGGCTTTGGTGTAGCCTAGACCCCAAGAAACCTCAACCATGGCTGGGAATCCCACCTTGCTATTCAACACATTGTACCACACTCATGTAAGCATTACATGGTAGTCCTGTTCATTCTATGCAACATGCAGAAACTCTTCAACCACAAATGTACTTTGAGCTACCAGAAGGTTAAGTTCAGGGGAAGACTTGCATGCATGACTTCACCTCGCTTCAGTATAGTATTAAGAATTGCCAGCCACAGCAATTATACAAAAAATAAATTAAGAACATCCACATCAGAGAGGTATTCAAAATAACTATGTCTGTAGATGACATTGATTTTACACATAAAACCTCAAAGATTCCACAAACAAAAATCTGTTGGAACTGAAAACTTCAATAATCACATTGGTTATAAGTCAACATACAAAAATAAAGAGCTTCTTTAAAAATTCGCCAATAGCAAAATTGATGAGAAGGCAATTTCGTTTATAAGAGCTACAAAAATAGAAACAAAGTACTATGTACATGCTTAATCATGGAAGTAAAAGACACTTTTACAATGAATTGAAAAACTGATGAAAGGATTTGCAAGGGTCACACAGAAGTGGACATTTCATTATTGTAGGTTGCAATGACTAATATTGTTGAAAGTATATTCTTGCTAAAAATCACTGATAGGTTAATGTGATCATTATGAAATAATAGTGAGTGTAACCAGCATGTGATGTAGTGGGTAAAGCAAACTTCTGTGACATCAGTTCCTGTATCGTTAATGGTTCCTGTCGGACCTCATCCAACAAGATAAGCTGGGGGGTGATGGGTGCAAGGCTGGCAACCTGTTGAGAAGAGGCTCCAGGAAGAGGATGTGAAGAGCCTCTCATCCAGCGTGCATGCTTCCCCAGTGCCTCCGTGGAAGTGTTTTTGTGCTTTCCATGATATAGGGTAAGCATCTGTGCTCTGTCTAGTCAGCTGACCAAGGGCAGACAGTCTGAATAATCTATTCCCCATTTCTTTTTTAATTAATTAATTTATATATTTTTTATTTTTATATCATTTTATGACACAGTTTCATAGGCTCTGGGATTCCCCCAGTGCCTCTCCAAGTTCTCCTCCCCATATTGAATTCCTCTATATTGGTACAGTAGCACAGTTTATAACCAGTCATAATTCCTTTATTTGTGGACATGGACCATGTGGAGACTCCATCATCTTATTGTCCAGATAAATTCTACAGTTTCATTCGGAGACCATCCTTGGTCTGAAACTAGAGCTGGCAGAATATCATCCACTCTAATGAGATGCCACTACACTACTGCAACAACAAGAAGAAACATAGAAATTAACAACATCATGAAGTTAATTAACATGGTATTGAGTGACCAATATGCTAGAAAATGCAGGTTCTTAACCACATCCTGTAACTACTTCCTTGCCATCTCAATTTTAATATATACTCAACCAGTTGCTATAAACCTTTTCTTTTCTCCCAACCTAACATGTTTTTGAGTTTAACTTAAA